AAAAAAATATATGCCAGGAAGTGGCCCTTGTTCCACTTTAACCCTCACAGAAAGTATCTGTTTCCCTTTCTCAGCTCCCTAAAATAAAAAGCATGAGCACCAACAGAAGGTCCGTTACCACACACCCAGCAAGGACCTTACCTGGGGAAAGGTGAGTGTGGTATCAGGCTCCCTAAAACTATGCTGGGTGTTTGACTTTAGAGTTGGTAAATAACATGAAGCATTCAAATTAAGGCATCAGACCAATTTCAGTCAAACCTGGCTCCTCAGAGACCATTTCTAGGTTTGGAATCTATTCTCCCCTTTCTTGGATACTTTTGTAAAACCTGTGCAGGTTCTTTCCAGCTCTCAGCATAGTAATTTTATAGGACATGTCTTAGCCCTAAATTATTTGAAGGCATAGATAAGTTCTGTGTCCACAAGTGTGAGCTTTATAAATTTCACAGTATCCTGGGAAACGGACATTAACAGAGAGGTAGTAGAGGGGCAAAACTTTTCCTCTAACTGGGATTTATTAGATTCACAGGTATCTCTAGGTCCATGCAAGGTGAGGGTAAAGAGAACCTTCTTCCCCCTTCTCTCCACTCAACATTTTTTCCCACCTGTCCCTTTGAAGGCCTTTAATAACTGATTTCTGCTGCTTCCCTGAAGGTATTTACTTCTTGGAGTCAATCAAAGATGAATATGGATTAGAAGATTATTCCATTAGACCACAGATATTCCTGAGCTTTGCTCAAACAGAAATAAAAATACAAAATCAAAATTATAAAGATAATCAAACTGTGCTTTCAACCACCATCTCAAGCCACCTTGCCAGCCTTCTGCCTATAACTGACATATAGCGACAATGTCTACATAGAAGTGTGCACATATGTGCCTTGATAAATGTGTGTATAAAATGTGTTCCCTGGAAATAAAGTAAAAAATTATTTCTAAAGAAGTTTCCCAATGAGTTTATCTTCTATTTTGAAGACTAAAGCAAGGACCTATTTGTACAAAAAGCCTTTCAGATGTATGGGAGATATAAAAGGAAAAACAAGTGTTCTAGCTGAGATCTTTCGGCAACAACTCTATCATTTTTAATCCCTGAGCCAAATCCAATGACAGGGAGAGAAAAAAAGTAACCTCTGACTTTTGAGGGATATATAAATCCAGTGATGCTAGTCTCACTGATGTGGAACAGCATTTGGAAGCCTAGGATAACAGCAAAAGGAGGGACATTGCTTGCTGCATAGAACAGAGGTTTTCAAACTCATTAGAACAGCAGATGATGGACCCCACTCCCTGAGATTCTGATTCAGCAGAAGTGTACCGGGACCCAGACGTCTGCATTTTTCATAAGCACCCAAAATGATAGTGCAGACCATACATTGAGAAACATTCTAGTGGTAATATCAGGATATACCCAGGGATCTTGTGAAACATCCCCTGGCCTTATCTCAAACCAAATGAGTAAGAATTTAGAGGATTGGGACTAAGGCATCTTTTTAAACTAATTTTCTAGGAGATTGTGATGAACCATTGTCATAGTTAATGTGACTATCTGCCCACTTTCTAACAACTTTATTGAGGTGTAATTTACACTACCATATAATTCACTTGTTCTAATTATACAAATTAATGATTCTTTGTAAATTTTCCAAGTTGTACAGCTATCACCATGACCCATTTCAGAACATTTGTATTGCCCCAGTAAGATCCTCTATTTACAGTTCATCCCTGTTCCCATTCTCAGACCCAGGTAACCACTGATCTTTCTGTCTCTACAGATTTGCCTTTTCTGGACATTTTCATATAAATGGAATCATGTAAGTTCTTTTTGTATGTCAGGCTTCTTCACTTAGCATAATGTTTATCAGGTTTATACTAGCTCCCAATTGCTGCTGTAACAAATTACAACAAATTTAGTGGTTCAAAACAATACAAATTATCTTACAATACTGGAAGTCAGAAGTCCAAAATGGGACTTACAGGGCTAAAATCAAGGTATAGGTAGAGCTGTGTTCCTTCTGGAGGCTCTAGGGAAGAATTCATTCCTTATTTTGGGGCTTCTAGAGGCTATGTGCCATTTCTTGCCTTTTGGTCACGCCACTCTGAACTTTGCTTCCATTACCTTCTTACAAGTACTCCTGTGGATTGCATTGTGCTCACTACAATAATTTCATGATCCTTTACTTAAGTCAAGTGATACCCCTTTTGCTAGGTAACATACTCACTGAAACATGTCACATACTCACCAAAAACTAGGAATGGCTATCTTTATTCTGCCTACACAAGGTTCATCCATGTTGTAGCATGTATCAATCAATATTTCATTTCTACTGCTGAATAGTTAGTACTCAGTTACATGAATAAACCACATTTGCTCATCCATTCACCAGTTAAAGGATATTTGGGTTGTGTGAACTTCTGACTCTCACAACCAATGCTGCTGTGAACATTCCCATGTAGGTCTTTCGGTGGACTTATATTTTCATTTCTCGTGAGAGAAATGCTCATGCCTCCTCAGTCATGACTGAAGCCATCTTAAACATTTATGAGTCATAGTTCTCTCCATTAAGGAGCTTAACATCAAAGACAGGTAAATGTTAATTACAGTTGAAACTGTAACAGGTAAATAGGAGTTCATTATACTATCTGTTTAAGTTCTATTTATGTCTAAAAATGCAAATAATGCTTTTTCTCTAGTTAAGGCAGATAAAACAGTACAAAGTTAACTATAAACATAAAAATTAATGATATAACATTAATATAAATCAGTAAAGTTCAGAGAAGGGAGAGAAAATTCCAGATAATACCTGGATAGGATTCTGAGTGGAATGGAGAAGAAAATGCCAACCATCGAAATTACATGGCAAGGTAATGTTCCCAAGAATAAGATCAAACCCCTTCCCTGAGGTCTGTTTTGCCTCCACTGTAGTCTTGCATTTGACATCCCCAACCCCTGCACATACCCACCCACCCACTCCTGCTCAGGACAGGAGTTGGGTTTCCATGGAGTCAGATTTGACTCCACATTAAGAAAACTAAAAACTATAGCTTTCCAGCAAGGCACTCATGGTCTTCCACATCTGCTCTCTTCTGTCTGCTCATTTCCTCTTCCAGGGCTTTCAGTGTCTCCTATACAGAAACAATTTCAAGGACCTGACTTTCTTCAGTAAAATGCTAGAGCTGTGTCAGAAGCTGGTAAGGCAACCTGGAGAAACCTCAGTTTTCTGTTGCCTACACCTTTGTTCTTAATACTATACTGGGCCATGAGTATTATAAAGAAGGAAAAGAGAATTTTAAAACTACATTTAATTAACAACAGTAACTTTAAGAAGATAGGATTAATCTGGAACCTCATCTTGAGAATCCTCTTTTAACCACCCCCTTTTGTAACCTATATTTACCCTTTCGATCTCCCACTTTCTCCTTCTGTGTCCTCCATTCTCAGCTCTTTCACTACTTCTCTCCATTATGGGGATGGGGGTTTACTACTCCGAGCATTTATTCTTCAAAGTGTATGGGAGTGATAACACAAAATAAGAATTGGAGCTCAGGCGTCTACCTTCCTCTCACTATGACTAGCTGTAAAACTGGGAGCTGAACAAAAGCATGAGGTCAGAAACGCACACCACCTGTCAACACCGTACACGTGTATTAATAATGGCGTCCCATCCCAACCACGCACTCATTCACACACACCCTCCACATAAAAGCAGCAGTTAATGTCTTTCAATGGGCATATGTGGAAGTGGAATATCTGACCACAAGATGGCAGTCCTACTCGTAGCTGAAAGTTTACTAGGAAATTTTGCAATGTTGCAAAAATACGTAATAAATTTAGGATTTTGTTATTTATGTAGCCAATATCAGGAATTGTTTCAGATCCTACCACACTTTGAACAGAATTTTTTTCGGGGGGGGGATTGCAGTTGTGTTTTTGATGTGTGGGCCATGTTATAACTGAAGAATAAGACATGCTGAAAACGACAAAATGTTGCTGAAAGAAATTAGACAAATAAGTAGACATTGTGTGTTCATGGACTGGCAGACTTAAAACTGTTAAGATGTCAATACTCCCCAACAGATTCAGCCAGTTCGTCTCAAAATTCCAATTTTGGGGGCAGGAGAAAGGTGTAGAAAAATCTATTCTAAAATTCATATGGAATCCCAAGAGACCTGAACAGAAAATCCTTCTCCTACCCCCAGCTTTACTGAGCTATAATTGACATGTAACATTGTATGAGTTAAAAAGAGAAAATGTGATTTGTGAAATGATTGCCATGATAACATCCGTAACCTCACAAAATTACATTTTGTTATTGTGTGGTGAGAACTTTAAAGAGCTACTCTCAGCAAATTTCAAGTATGCAATTCTCTCTCGCGGACACACACACACCCTACTCCAAAGAGTTACGTAAAAAAACTATGGTTAGTTTTATTTTCTACGTAACTTCAGACTACAAATAAATTCCAGAGAGCAGAGACCCGGAGTGGGCTTCAAGCGAAAGGCAATCAGTCCCGGCTTTCGAAGCCACCTCTCTCCTAGAGCCGCTGGCTTCCGAGGACGAGCGAGGCCGGAGACTGCGGCAGGAATCCCGGGAAAAGGGGCTGTTTCATTTGACGGTTCGGATCGGGAGAATCCACAGTGCAGGGGAGTTGCGATGGGCTGTCGTGGACACTGTCAGAAGATGACAGAGTGACTCTCCAAGCCAGGAATGGAAACCAAAAAGGGGTAAGCTAATTTACCCAATGAATATTTGCTTATGAAATTATGCGTCTCCCTATTCTGCATCTCGGAAGAATTGGATTGGTCCAACCTCCTCCAGGGAGCAGTAGAGTGCGGTCCGTATAGAGAGTCCCTTCACGTAGGGCGTGTGGGAAAGCGTGTCGCGGGGAAAGCTGGGAAACTCGTCGGTCACCGTCTTGCTTACTTCTGAGCGGGCTTTGACCGTGGCTCGGAGCAACCTTGAACGATGAAGCTGCTAACCAGAGCTGGGTTCTTCTCGGTGAGCACAGCCGGCGGGCTTGGGGAAGTGTTGGGGAGCCGTTTGTGAGCCGGCTGATACGTACCGGAGGCGCCTGGCTTGGGGTCCCTGGGCCTTCGCCTTGGGGCTGCCCTTCAGCTGAACCTTGCGGGCCAAACGGGCGGCTGCAGGCTGGGTGGGTCGGGCTCTGGAGGCCCCTCTCGTGCTCTGAGCGGAAGAAGCCGAACACCGGAAAACCTGAATAGATGGAAAGGGCTTGAGAGCGGAGGTGAGGCGACTAGGTGGAGAGACCACTGAAGGTCACTGCTGCACTTGAGTGCCGAAGCGATCGCGAGGAGGGGGCCGCCGCGGACCTAGCCCTCAACTCTTAGCCCATCAGCTGCGTCCTATGCTTCTGGGGCAGTTAGTTTCCCCAACGCTTAAGTGGGCTTATGAGCAAAATTGTAAGAAATGAGCTAAGGCCTGTATAGTAACCCTTACCACTATGTCTGGAACTTGATTATTATAACGGTGACCTCGCAGAATAATGTGTGCTTTCTCGAGATCACTTGTTCCTCTAGAGGGTCTCGGTGTGCTCTCAAGAACTACTAAAGGCTCCTCCTTCAAGCCCAAGTGAAACATAGCTGCCACTTGGGGGAAATTCTGTAGATGTCAGCGTATGTTCTCGTGGAGTGGTGTTTATCAGAGGGAGATGGGGAATACTTAAAAACCTCAAGTAGACCAGTTTATCCCCCAGGGGAAGTTGGCGCTATCTGTAGACATTTTTGGTTATAACAACTTGGCGGAGGGGTGGGGGTGTTGTTAAACATCATGCAGCGCATAAAGATAGCCCCCTACAAAAACGTCCCAAATGCCGATAGGTAACCTAGTAACCTGCCAGAGGGAGGTACAGAACAGGGAATGGAGTTTACCTGTACTTAATGTTGAAATAGATACGCTGTGGATGATACAAATGACTATGATTTAGGCTGTAATTGTCTTGCCCTTGGACAAAGTAATGGTTAATAACCTTTGAGAGAAGCCCAGTTAGACTGGCAAAAGATGGCGAAATTTCCTCAATTCCATCCATCCCCACCTTGCAGTAGAAAAAAAGACTCAAAGATAACAGAGTAGGAGAGGACCAATGTAAAAAAATTGCAGTAAACTTGAAAGCAGTTGTTCATGTTTCTAATTATAACACTTAGTTCCCATAAGAAATTTATGCATATTTTATTAAATACTAAATAACCTAGTAATTGACAGTTACTAGGATAATTTTGCAGCACGTTTGAGTGGGACAAATTACAGGAAGCACATAACCAATACACTCGCTGTTCAGGCACATTTGAGGGGAAATCACCTAAATTTCCCTTGGCAGTGGAACTAATGAGTATTCATACTTGAACTGCTATACCCACATATCTAAATTGTACTTTTTAGCAGGTCAAAAGCTAAAGTCACAAGTAGGGTTGCAAATACCACACCTAGCAAAAGATGAAATTGATGATGAAAAAGCAAAGCTGATTGTCATCTATAATTAAAATGTACTAACAGCAGTAAGAACTAGAAACCAGTTCAGTACAGCACTGATCTGAATGCACAACAAACAGCCCTGCTGGTCTCCACAGACCTAGGGGCATTGCAGCCTCTGATGGGGGGTGGGGGGTTCCTCACCATCTTGGAAGTACCAAGTTCAATTAACTCTTAACATCTCCACGAGTAATCTCATGAACCTTAGGCACAATCAAAATGAATTCTGTGGCATCATTTTCACACTCACACACACACACACCCCAAAAGTAAAGTTACACATTTTGAACCCATTATTGGACATTTAAGAGGACCCTGTTACCCTTCCAATGACTTCCAGATTCTCCATAATCAAGAAACTGCTGTGAATGAAGCTATTTTTAATCTCAGGGTAATGCAACTTTGTATTAGTCAAAGAAGGTAAAATCCCTGGTTGTATTGTCTCAGTGTAGCTTACAAGAGAGTACAGATACTATGGGAAATACTGGAGGCTTGGAGAAAATTTTTCTTGGTAGGCTTTGCCTTTCTTTAAAGATTACTAAAAGAAGGAGGTGAAGTCATTGCAATTGGAAATAGACTAAAAAGATGAGACTCTGAGCAGATAAGAGAATCAGTAATGCTAAAATCTATAAAGTGATGTGTATAGTATGTATTGTTCTTTTGAGAATTAAGTGTAACCTGTCTTTTTGTGTTTAGAGATTTTATTCCTCAAAGTTGCTCCCAAAATTAAAGCCACGGTTGCCCCTTCAGGAGCACCTGCACATCCTCAGGACATTGAGGTTAGTCCCACTGAGCTGCTCACTGGAACTCATACATACCTTTCTGTCCTTGGTAGTAGTAAAGACATTAATCACATCTCTATTTTATTTTAAATATAGTTTACCAAATTACCAAATGGCTTAGTGATTGCTTCTCTGAAAAACTATGTTCCTTTGTCAAGAATTGGTTTGTTCATTAAAGCAGGCAGTAGAAATGAGGACTCCAATAATTTGGGAACCTCTCATATGCTTCGTCTTGCATCCAGTTTGGTAAGCATGTGTACTACCTCACTATGTTTAGAAATGCTGTGGTATCTTGGTCCTACAGAAAAGAAAACCTAAAATCAACATCTGAGTATTAGTTTCTTGGAGCTGCCATGACAAATTACAGGCATACCCTGGAGATACCGCTTTATCGTGAGTCAAATGAATTTTTTGGTTTCCCAGTACATATACTATAATGTAGTCTGTTAAGTGTGTAATAGCATTGTGTCTGAAAAAACAATGTGCATATCCTAATTTAAAAATACTTTATTACTAAAAATCGCTAACCATCATCTGAGCTTTCAGCAGGTCATAATCATAGATCACCGTAACAAAAAATTAAAAATTGAAATATTGCAAGAATTAAAGTGAGACCAGGAGACACAGAGTGAGTAAATACTATTGGAAAAATGCCCTGTAAGACTTGATTGATGCAGGGTTGCCACAAACCTTTAATTTGTAAAAATATAATATCTATGATGTGCAGTAAGCGAGGTATGCCTGTGCTACAAACCGAGCAACTTAAACAACAGAAATTTATCCTCTCACAGTCCTAGAGAATAGAGGTCAAAGTCAGGATGTCAGTAGAGCCATGCTTCCTCTCAGGGCTCTAGGAAGACTTCCCTTGTCCCTTCCTAGCTTCTGACGGTTGCCAGCAGTGTTTGGTATTCCCTGGCTTATAGCTCTGCTGCTCCAACCTCTGCCTCTGTTGTCACATGGCCTTCTCTCTGTGTCTCTGTGTCCAGGTTTTCCTCTTATTTGATATTTCCAGTCACATTAGCCTGTAGGGCCCACTCTAATCCAGTATGACCTCATTTTAAATATTAATATTTGCAAGGATTATTTCCAAAGAAGGTCACATTCACAGGTTCTGGGTGAGCATGAGTTTGTTGTTCCCAGTGCAGTCACCTAATAGGTGAAAAAACACAGAATATTTGCCACAGAGCAGCATTAAATTCATGTCCATCTGAATGTTAGTTCTAGAGTATAAGAAACCAGTAAAAAAAAAATTGAATTCTAAAAAAAAGTGCCATAAATTGAAAGAAAATAACACTTTCCCATATGCAAATCTCTTTCAGAATAAACTGATGAATCCAGTACATTTGTATTTTTTAATGGAATATTTACTTAAACATACTTTATATAAAAATATATACTTAAGTTTTTTTGGTGCACTTTGTTTTGTAATTCTGAAATAAGAAAGACTCACTATTTAAGGTAAAGTTCCTCTTGAATCTAATGACAATTAGACATGAGATTTTGATTCAGTGTGATGTTTGGCAAACTCATCATTAAAAAGCTACTAAAAACAATTGTTATTCTTTTTCCAGACTACAAAAGGAGCTTCATCTTTCAAGATAACCTGAGGAATTGAAGCAGTTGGTGGTAAATTAAGGTTTGTTGAAAATTACTAGTAGGAAATAAAGAGTGAAAACACCAGAGAATACTCAATTATAAGGGAATTTTCTTTTACAGAGGTGGTTAAGGGTTTCTTAAAGTAAGGAACAAGAAAGAAAAGATTAATGAATTTGACTATATCAAAATGTAAAACATCTCATGCCTTAAAGTAAAAATTTAACGGGAAGTACATATTTGTAATAAAGATAACATGGAGAGGAATATTTTGAAAAATAAAGTACAAATTAGGAACAAAACAAAGAGAAAATGAGTGGACAAAGGTTAAGAACAGGCAATTCCCAGAAGAGGAAGCCAGAAACATTCATCTTTACTTATAATCAGGAGATACACACCCATTAGATTTTTTTATATATCATGTTGGCAGTGTTAAGGGAGATGGAGAATGTCTCACATTGCCAGTGGGAGGGTAATACAGTAAACTACTTAGAAAAGAATCAAGGAGTAATACTGAAAATGAGCATATTCTATAACTTAGCAGTTTCTAATCTACGTGTACAAAGCTGATGTATAGACGGGAAACAATTTAAATGCCCTTCTTGAGGGAAAATGGATACAGTCATATGATGGGACTACTACACAGCAGTTAAGGAATAAACTAGATCTAAGTATCAGTATAGCAGGGTTAAGAACAAAATGTTCTGTGGAAAAACAAGTTCTAAGATATTTTTAAGGTATGAGCATTTGTAATTTTTTAAATAAAGTAACAATATGTAATGCTTATAATTATGTTGTCTCTAGAGTGGAAGAGAGTAAAGGCATTAGCCTGGGAAGGAGACAAAGAAATCTTTAACTTTAGTTGCCATTTTATTAAATTGTGGTAAAACGTACATAACATAAAATTACCACTTTTAAGTGTACAGTTCTAGGTGTTAAGTGGCAGTATGCAGCCATCACCATCCATCTCTAGAATGTTTTCATATTCCGCAGCTAAAACTCTGTAGCTGTTAAACAGTAACTCACCATTCCCTTCTTCTTCTGGCACCTGGCAACCACTCTATGTTCTGTCTATATGAATTTGACTACTCCAGGTATCTCGGGTGGAATCATGTACAATATTTGTCCTTTCGTGTCTGACCTTCCTTAGCATAACATCTTCAAAATTCATCCATGTGTAAAAAGGATTTCCTTCCTTTTTAAGGTAGAATTATTTGCTTTTTATTTAAAAATTTTTTAAAATATTTTTAAAATTTTGTTGATGAATAATAATTTTTGTTTTTATCATATTTTTTTATACTTCAAAATAATTTTTCCCAAAGGAATCAGTTGATTTAACAAAGATATAAAGGAAAGCTTGTTCTTCTGATTTAGACAATTCACTGTAATTTATTTCTGATTCAGTGTGACTTCAACAAGGGAAAACATGGCTTACACTGTGGAATGCCTGCGGGATGATATGTAAGTACCTGCATGTGATTAGGGCATCTGCTTTTAGAGAAATGCTAAACTGCTGAGTTCTGGTCTTTTTAATGTGCAGTATGATCTCTCACTTTGGTTTTGGATTATAATTTACAGACTGCTTAGAACACTGTGCTTATAGCACAGCCTAAAGTTTAATATTGAGAGCATTACAGTTATGTGGAATGGATATTGGTTTTAAATTTTTGACTCGCAGCTCTTATCTTCATGTTTTCTGCAGTGATATCCTAATGGAGTTCCCTTCCACGGCACCAGAATTTCGTCGTTGGAAAGTAGCTGCTATTCAGTCTCAGCTAAGGATTGACAAAGCTGTTGCTATTCAGAATCCACACGCTCGTAAGTGCATTTTGAGATTACACTCAAAGATACTAAGTTTTTAAGAAGATTGATTTGTAGTAAAAGAAAGTAGCTGTTGAAATTTGTTGTTTCTAGACATTTATATTGTTGATTATTTTTCATCTGTGGTAGTATGTAAACTGATTATAGAATCCTAAGTGTTTTTCCTATTTCCCCTCTAGTATTTTTTTTTTTTTTT